TATAGCCGGGTACCCATTCCCACCTGGGTGAAGTGAGGAAAATTCGTGTTAAGTGCCTTTCCCAAGGACACAACGTCGGGCCCTTGACAGGATTCGAACCCACGACCTTACGGTTGCGAGTCCGAGAGCCTAACCACTAGGCCACCGACGTATTAGTAAGAGGTCAAATTAGCAAACCCCCAAAAAGGCAGCCAAAGTTCGATTTCCTGACTTCCAAAGCGTGAGAGTCCTTGGGAACTGCGAATTACATGTTTGTGCCACTGATCAACGGGGTTTTTTTTTTGCCGTAAAAACCACACAGCGATGTGTTTTAAATGGATATAAAAGGTGTTGATTTTAAAATATTAGATAAAACCTGTAAATGCTTCCCTTACGGACAAATGCCGGATTCTTCAATATTATTATTTCGACGAGCCCCTGAGGTGGGGAGGGGGGCATGATTTTACTACGGTGGAGCAAATAATAACACCTGCCGTGATACTGCATGTCGTAAGAGGCGACTAAAGAAACGCAGGTCTAGTCTCCTGAAAAGTGCCAGTTTGCAAGTGCCAGTTTGCGGAAGGCCAACTATCCGACCCTGCAAAAACTGAAATTTATAGAAACACGAACAAACATGCCTAGGTTTCACGTTCACTAGAAGATGTCACAGTACAGAGAGGGGCAGACGTTGGATCAGATTACCATTTGCTGTTTGCAAAACTCAAGCTTCGTCTAAAAAAAGCACGGAACCAGAACAGGGACCAAAAGAACGAAGTTCCGAGTAAGTCTCTTAGACGGACAGAAAAAGAGGAGTTTCAGCTGCAGTTGAGGAACAAATTTGGTGAGAAGAAAATGAAGGTGGAGATGCACTGGACCAAGGTCAAAGAAGTCTTTATTTCAACACAGTCAAATTCAAGAAATACTCGGTGAGAGGAGATTGGAGCATAAGGAAAAGAGTGGCCAAAACCCATTGGCTTTGATTAGCATTAGACGACCAATGAAATGAGAGGCAAATGCAAGTAGAACAAGGGTATCAAAAGTAAACACATTGGAGCAGTACAGGACAACAGCTAAATATGTAAAGAGATAACTAAGAAATAACAAGGAGGAATTCATGAACAAGCTGAAGGAGCGGGCAGAGGAAGCAGTGGCAGGAGAACACTTGCAAATACTTTACCAGACGACAAAGACTCTTGCTGGAAAATATTGGAAACCGGAAGTACATGTACCAGTAAAGGACCAAGAGGGAAAAAAACATTAATTTTGGAATTAATCTCAGTGGAAACGATGGGCAGAGCATTTCAACAGCCTTCTGCACAGACCACTGCCAAGTAGCCCGTCAAACTTCTTGCCAGAAAAAACCCCAAATAACAATAACAACCCCAAACAAAACAAAACTACACAGTTACCCATCTGCTGTAATGCTCCTTCTGAACAAGAGATTCTAGATGCCATTAAGAAGCTGAACAAAGGTAAAACGACTGGTCCTGATCAGATTCCACCTGAGGCTTTAAAATCAGATGTAAATGTGACTGCAGATCTTCTCCTACAGATTACCAGGATGTGGAATAAGAGCAAGGTACTCAAAGGATTGTTAAGAAGGACATCCCAAGAAGCTTCCAAATTAGGGGAGTTCAGCAACTGCAGCAACTATCGAGGAGTCATTCTTCCCTTAATACCAGGTAAGGTCTTCAGTGGAATCATTCAGGAGAGAATTAAGACTGCAACAGATCCAAGAATTCGGGGTGAATAGGCTGGTCTTCGGAAAAAATCGCTCAACCACGGACCAGAATGCTACGCTGAGGATCATAATGGAACAGTCCCAAGAGTGGAAGTCTCAGTTGATCGCCAACTTACTTGACTATAAGAAGGCCTTTGGCAGTATAGACCGAGCAACACTATTGAAGATACTGAGACATCACAGAATCCCATAGAAGTTGTTGAATCTCATCAAGAGCATGTACGAAGGGACACGTTGCAGAATTATACATGATGGCCACCTCACTGACAGCTTTGACATCAACACCGCTGTGGGACAGGAATGTTCGCCTTTCCTCTTTATCGTGACAATCGACTGGCTGATGAAGGAAAAAAACCAGAGGACACAGAAACGGCATACAGTGGACACCATGGACACAGTTGGACGTTCTGGACTTTGCAGATGACTTGGCACTTCTGTCTCACGCCCAGGAACAGAGCAAGGAAAGACCACAGTTTTAAACAGTCTATCAGAGTCTGTGGGATTGAGGAAACATCTCGAAATTCGCCATCGCGAAGACAAATTTAATGTCGTTTTTTTCGATTTCGACAAGCGCCTGGTTCCACGACGCTGCGATACATTTATAATCGGAGTCCATACTTCAAGCAGAGAATCCAGCCTCTTTCCTCAAACATAACCACACACACACACACACACTCTCTCTCTTTCTCTCTCTCTCTCTCTCTCTCTTCCCTATCTTTCCTTCTATCACAACAGACAGACAGTAACAGACACAATCTGTCCCGACCATACTTAAGCAGAACCCCCCGTCCCTCCCAGCTCGCGTGATGTAAGAACTTTGATCTTCCTTTGGGGACTATTTCCTATCTGCCAAATCAATACGCGCACTGATAAAGGGGAAGATGGACTGTCGGGGACGGGGGTGGGGG